CAAAATACCGAAAGTGACCATTTATCGATGTAGTTATGGGAGTTTCTGAAACAAATGTCTAAGGTAGCTTCGGGTTCCCATAGCATTACCCTAGTCACAGCAATTTTTGTTAACGAATTCAAACATTAATCGGAGAGCTTTCATCACCGACTGGCGGCTGTTGAACATCTGCATCAGTGTCTGCATTTGTATACGAATGCGATTTCTAAGCATTTTCGTTTGTTAATTTTTGTTATGGGTGCGGTCTATCAGCACATTTATTATCACACTGTGTAGCATATCAAGTGCTGTAATATCTTCCGAAATTCCTTAGGTTTATTTTTGTGATCGCTGCGAATGTGCAAGGGAATAATATAAATGTGCATTTGCAAGTGGATTGAATGTGCACAGATACAATGGTTTTGTGTCTGTCTGTGTGTCCGTCCGTCGATCCCTTCACTCCGTAATTCAAATTATATCGACTATAATGTCTGTAAATACATGATGTACAATTCACTATTAATGCTTTTCATTAAATAAAAAATTCAAATTATGTCAGCGGAGAACATTCTGAGTATGTATGCTCTCATGCCATAGAGATGCTATATTTGAATTTAATTTGACAAAATATATCTCAAAAGGAAATGTCTCTGTGTAGTCTCTTGAAACCTGTAACTTTGAAAGCATGAAGTAATAGAACACTTACGTAGTATTGTTGTACTAGTCAAATGTTTTTTAAAATACGACATCCACCTACCGGACACTCTCTAAAAAGAAATGTTCGACCGGATGGACCCTTCGTATATCAAAATACGTACAAATGCTATAATTGATACGACATCATTGTCTGGAAAATAAAAGAAAAATATAAGGATAGATACGAATGATTTAACGTCATTTACAAATTCATATCGTTGATATGCCAAGATATAATGTTTAGCTTGCAATTCCAGAAAGATTTCGTGGAAGAAAGCATAGACTCCGTTTTTCTTGCTTTAAGATCCGCAAAATGTTCTGCCGATAAGATTCAAAGTATTTGCATACAAATTAAACATTTCATAATTTTGTATTTATAAGGGTGTGTGTATATTCAATTTTTAATTTCGTTTGCAACACCTCGAGATATTCACGGGAGACCCCATACAGTGTATTCATTCTTGATCAGAATAAAATTCTATGTTGACTTATACGTATCTGCAGTCTGTCTGTCCGCCTGTTGGTATCACGATAATGATCACAATATTAAGTATTATGGGTTCTCACTCTATAGCACATGTAAGTACCAGCAATCTAACTTCGGGTAATATGGACCACAATTTTCTCTTTTTTTTTTTTTTTTGATATTGTGGGCGTACCAACGGTAAAAAATGAAAACAAATTGCTTTCACGACATAGTAGATTGTCGTCTAAATATATTCCAGGTCAAACATTAAATATTTGACTATAAAAATGTTATTGCATTATATTTAAAAAACTGAAAACTGCGAACTGCGAATAAAAACATATTGGATGTTTGTTTTTACATATAAAACATATAGCAAAGCGGCATTGACATATTTCAAGCGTATTCTTAGATATGGTGGTGGTCCACATTAAACGCATAGTCCACATTACCCGATGTTGCGTTATAAGTGACTGACTGATCATCAACGCCCAGACGAAACGACTAAAGCTAGAAACGTAAAAGTACTAAATATTATATTTGAATGGAGTCGGTAGAGATACATATCTGAAACTTGGCACAATTTTTGGAAATTAGTACTGAAAATACTAAATCTTTATTACACCGGAACGGTTGGATGTAGAACTCTACAAATTGGTATGCAGCTTTGTCAATGATAAACGAATCAGAATGTGTGAACAGACTTTGGAAAATAGCACTAAAAACTACTAAATATCGGTACGATAGAACAGGTAGGTATATATATATATCTGAAATTTGGTATATAACTTAAGCTGTTACAAAAGAATGATGGGCAAATTTATTTGACGGAAATTAGTACTGAAAAGTTGTAAATATTATGCTGCAATATAAAAGATAGAGATAAAAATGCGAATCTTCGCAAAAAGCTTTAAATATTACAAATAGAATATGCATGGTATTATATCTGTAATTTTTCGAAATTAGTACTAAAGTTGTGATAAAAATACTAAATAATGAAGAAATAGAAATCTGAAACGCGGTACGTAGATTTATCTATTACAAACACAGTAATATATTTTTGAAATTTGTACAAAATATTCGAAAAAAACATACATGCTTAAAAAACTCACTATTTGTACTATTTGCATTGGTCCATTGGGAGGATCAGAAAATATAAATATAAAAGAAAGAGATTTTCTTAAAAATTGAAAATATAGCACCTATTATTTTTCGAAATATTTCAAATCTATACTTAATCCAAAAGTGTGCTGTGTACTAAATTAAATTAAATCCGCTAAGGACGTAGCGGGCCTATGCTGGTTATTAATATTAACTCAAGTTTCAGGTGGTGCGAAATTAAAAAAGGAACATTTTATTTTTGAAAATACCTAATATGTGTATAGGTCTTAGTTATATATTAGGAATAAATCCAAATTAAATCTATCCATTCCCCTCATTTCTTCCAACGATTGTATTATCTCTTCTATACATTCGTTAAATATTTGTTTTCAAGCATGCCGCTCATCGTGTTTCACAATATGAATTTAGTTGTTTGTTTCCTTCCCGAATTATTTTACATAAAGTAGCAGACATTTTTGGAGATTTTCGAAAGAATAGGTAAATTGCCGAAATTGTAGAAAATTTACTTTGAATTTCTGGAATATTTGAGGGTGCATTGAAACTTGTGTACCACAGAAGTGAATTTTGCACTTTATTATAATTGCCTGACATGTTAGATGCGCCGTCATATCCTTGACCAGCAGTTTTCACTTCTTCAACAATATACTTGTGGATGTATTCTCCAATTATTTTTATATTTATTTTAACTCGATTTGTATTCTGGGACTCAGGTATGTTGTATTTTTGTATGTACTCTCCAAACTTTTTCTAAGTTTTTCCTTCATTCGTATTATCTATGTTACACAATAAATTTCCAATTTTTAAATGGTGCGACATTAGTAATTATTGGACTTGGTGGTTGCCCTTTCCGCACCCTCTTTTATTTGCAAATAACATGCAGACTTTACATTTAGCACATTTTGCTAAATATGAATATGCGATCAAAAAAGAGATCGAATCATTTTATGTTAAATGCACTCTCTTTCTATTTTTTATTTGTGGTCTGAACCCTTCTTATTTATGTCTTCTTATTTAACAGATATTTAGAAAACTGAACCCACTCACGTTATGACTAATGTTTGAACCGATTTATATTAGTAATCACCACAATCACAATATGGAAAACTACGTTTTTATGAAATTAATGTTTTCAAATACTTATACATGCAAATACATTCAATATATATCCGGCAATTTATATTAATTAATTTTTTTCAAACAATTGAGGAGTGGCCGGCCCTCTCTGTATTAAACATGATTTCACTACCCGAAATGATAAATATTTATCCCCTTTTTGTTAGGAGGAGATCCCATGTTATAAAAGGTGGAGGGTATAAAAATTTCTAGTGTAACTTGAGTTTATTGTTCCCATAAGAATTTGAATAACATTTTGAAAGTTTTGAAAATTACCGGGATGCTTGTTGACAATAAATTACTTCTTGCTCGCATTGATATAATAGGCTCTATTTCACCTCACTGTAATGTGTTGAAATGAACCATGGCAAGTTATTTCAATTTGTAAACTGGATATAAGCTCATTGAAAACCAAGGACTTAATCTCATACGGAACTCTTCGATGTAAGACACTATCAAAGGCTATTGCAAATTTTACCACTAAAATATCGAAGGTTTTATTTCGACTCTCAGATTTTTAAATTGACAGCCCCGAATATGATCCTATCATATTTGCAGCTTCCCAAGCTCACTTCTGGGCTATCTGGCTAAATCATGATTTTCTATCCCATTAAACAGGCCATTCACAATCAAATTTTAATAACCGATTTCGAGCAATGATCAGCTTGACAACCTCGTTTGTGAGGCTCCTGAAGAAACCTGAATTGGGGAAATCTCTCATTTTACATTTGTCCTGCTCTATAGACTCTAGTATCATTAGATTAGACAAAATCAATAGCGAGATCTCTAGCTACTAACATTCCTATAGGCTTATAATTTAAATTTTGTGGAGTTTATTGCAAACATATTAATGGTTACAGTTGATTCGAGAAATCCTGACGTTTTGCGAATATGTGGAATGTGCTTTGATTTTATTATATCACGTATCTACCAGTTGTTTGGGCACAGCCTTGAAAATAAGTTAGCACATAATTTCTGTTCTTTTGTACGCTACATATATATATATATATATATATATATACCGATTTTAAAAGTTTCGAACCTATGAAGACGCTGGTAATTATTCCTCTTTCAAACATAACCAAATTTGTGTGTCAGATTTCTATTCAATTCTAGACAAATTACAAGAAACACCTAATTAGGTTGGTTGATGACCATGTGCACTTCGACGAATACAAATGGACAGATAAACAATAGACAGACACAGTGATGTGCATGCGTCGGACCAGGCCATCTTTGGTAATTTACATTGGGCATTCGGTACGAAAATGCAGCGATGGTGGTGCTACGAAGAGCAGAACAAAACGATCTGTCTGTATTATTATAATTTTAGCACAATACATATTCGACATTTGTCCTGCGCCTATAGTACCTCGGGAAGCCCCTGCCGCCCACCTCGCCAGCATTACTTCTTCGCATATTTGGCATCTCTATGCGACGAAATGCACTCTCGGAACTGTTGATTTGTTGCTGTATTTGCAAGATTTTAGTTGTTATTAAATGTTATTTTGGTAGTTTTGAGTGATTTGTTTCGGAAGCATACGTGTGTGTGAGTAGGTGAGCATCAGTGTGAAGGTGTGAGTGAGCGGACAAGTGTTGGTGAATGCGAGTGACAGTTGAAGGGTTTTAGTGAAAAAAGTTTAAAAGAGGTTGGTCTAGAGAATCTTGAATCACTCTGGTCTCTGCCACGTTCGCATAAACATACCATCCGTTGTTCATTTCTTGTGTGTTTCAGTCTGTAAGTTTTTCGGAGCAAAAGGATTACGGATCGGTGCGTTCATATCCTTACCATTTGATATTTTCTGCTTTGTGTGTGGATTACAGAACAAAAAACAACTGCCAAAATGTGTGACGATGAACCCTCTGCCCTCGTCGTAGACAATGGATCTGGCATGTGCAAGGCTGGTTTCGCTGGTGATGACGCCCCTCGTGCTGTCTTCCCATCCATTGTTGGCCGTCCTCGCCATCAAGGTGTGATGGTAGGTATGGGTCAGAAGGACTGCTATGTTGGTGATGAGGCTCAGAGCAAACGTGGTATCCTCACTCTGAAGTATCCCATTGAACATGGCATTATCACAAACTGGGACGACATGGAAAAGGTGTGGCATCACACCTTCTACAACGAGTTGCGTGTGGCTCCCGAGGAACACCCAGTATTGTTGACCGAGGCCCCCTTGAATCCAAAAGCCAATCGCGAGAAGATGACTCAAATCATGTTTGAAACATTCAACTCACCTGCCATGTATGTCGCCATCCAAGCCGTTTTGTCTCTATACGCCTCCGGCCGTACCACCGGTATTGTATTGGACTCCGGTGATGGTGTCTCGCACACTGTCCCCATTTATGAGGGATACGCTTTGCCTCATGCCATCCTGCGTTTGGATTTGGCTGGCCGCGACTTGACTGACTACTTGATGAAAATTTTGACCGAAAGAGGTTATTCCTTCACCACTACAGCTGAACGCGAAATCGTCAGGGACATCAAGGAGAAATTGTGCTATGTCGCCCTGGACTTTGAACAAGAAATGGCCACTGCTGCTGCTTCCACTTCATTAGAAAAATCATACGAATTGCCCGATGGTCAAGTAATTACCATTGGCAACGAACGTTTCCGTTCCCCTGAAGCTCTCTTCCAACCATCCTTCTTGGGCATGGAGTCTTGCGGTATTCACGAAACTGTTTACCAATCCATCATGAAGTGTGATGTCGACATCCGTAAGGATTTGTATGCCAACAATGTGCTGTCCGGTGGCACCACCATGTACCCTGGTAAGTTGACATACATAATGTAGTCCAAAAACCGACCTGATTTCAATGCAATCTCTTCCAGGTATTGCTGATCGCATGCAAAAGGAGATCACTGCCTTGGCTCCATCCACCATTAAGATCAAGATCATTGCTCCACCAGAAAGAAAATACTCCGTATGGATTGGTGGTTCCATCCTGGCTTCATTGTCCACCTTCCAGCAAATGTGGATTTCAAAACAGGAATACGATGAATCTGGTCCCGGAATTGTCCACCGTAAATGCTTCTAAGTCCAATTGCAATTCATTTAAGCGTAAAAGACACAATGTATCACTCACGACGCCAACACCGTCATCTGAAAGCAGCGTTGTGAACAACGTCACCGACTTAATGTCAATGTCCTTTTTGTATATTTTTTGTTCATTTTTGTTTTGTAAGTAAATAATAAAAATAATATATACAATTATCATCCGTAAGTTGTGGTATTGGTAGCAAAAATTAGCTTTCTATATTTAGAATATAAAACCCCTTGATGGTTCGCATTGCCTATCATGTTTACCTGTGATATCTTGTCACAACCAATAGCGTAAGTGACATACATTCGCGAACATAGCTAACGAAAAGCGCAAATAAAATATGTTGAGAAAATGTGTAGCACAACAATACATTCGAATTATTTCTGAATCGTTACGCATTATATACTTTTACTTTTTGGATATCCAGTTTAGTTTTGAAGTTTTCTTAAATCTTGTAAATTAAATGTTGTATGTACGCTTTCATACGATGCAAAACTTATAAGCTTCGAAATTTGGACTTGAATAACGGGTGTGCCTTTTATACAGCGTATAAAATTCTACAAACTATAAGCTTAAGGTACGTAGCCCATGTTGAAATATAACATTTTAAATTTCAGAGCGATTTGAAACTTTAACCAACCATCTTTTTTTAAAGGCAATTTAGTTGTCTCTAAAAATGTGTAAAATCGCTTATTTTAAGAATTGTCTACTATTAATAAAAGTAAAAGGAATCGAGGTACACAAGAAATGTTTTTATTTTTGGCCATAAGAGCTTCGTACGCCATTAATAAACTTATTTGTGCATTGTATGGTATCACTAATTAATGTCTTTATTCCATTATTCATCGAATTTATTAATATTTAGATTTCCACATTTTACTAATTTTCCTCCTATTATTTGGAGTTCATTCCATAACCGCCTTTTCACTATAGCCCATGCATTTTCAATAGAGTTTATGAAAGCACTTCCCCTAACCATTCGATTTAGAAAGACCAAAAGGTCTGCAGAGAGACCTCAGATCTTAATAAAGACCAATTGGTCGATTGAAAGTGTAAAGAGACCACAGGTATGTATAGAAACCACAGGTATGTATACCAAACGGGCACCGATATATCTTATTTCTAATACAACACATTTGTTGAATATTGCGTGCTCTATCGCGATTCCAACATAATTCGACATACTTTATTATGATCAAGAACATATACGTTATGAGTCTCCGGTGAATATTTTGAGGAGTTGCAAGCGGAATTTTCTAGTCCGTTTGCACTTCAGCCTTATGCTGGATTGTATGTACAAATTTCAATATACCCTACTCATCAAAAAAGTATGACCATCAACGCTCCAGGTTAGTTCGTTTGTTTCTGTACGAAGATTACACTGTCCAACATGTTTGGTAATATGTAGTCAACGCCTTCTATACAATGTTTACAATCGTCTATCAGTTCGGGATGCATTTTCTTTGTGTGTTTTCGTCGACCGTAAACTAGCCAGTCGATGAGGAAAAGTAATCAATAGGTCAAATGAGGGAAAACGACTAAATCTTGGAACAGCCTTTTTACGCTAATTGTTTTCCACAATTTAGTACAAACTTGATACATGTTCGACAACGCTTCTGTAGGTCCTGTAATTTGTTTTTTGTTATTTTGCCTTTTATTGAGTCATTAAAACGCATTTTAACAACACTGACCAAAAGTACACAACAGCCCAAACGGAGAGACCGGTCACACTGTTAGAAGCAGCTATTTGAGAGCAAGACAGCAGCTTGGCCTCGAAGGATATGAAATACAGTAAAAACATTTCCTATTTACCATTCTTCCCAGTCTAAGATCGATGGTGAAGGAAAAGCGGGGAAATGCTGCACAACAAAGTTGTAAAATTGTTTCTTCCAGCAACTATTTACGATATAAACCTCGAGATGAGTCGATGAAATTGCGCTGGAAGCTATAAAGGAACAACATCAGCGCCAACATGCACAAATTTGTAACCAACAACCAACGGAGATGTTGTCGAATATTGAGTTATGTGCGTTATTTTGCGTTCGCTAGAGCAATATAAAGGTAATAACAAGCAATGTTATTACAAGCGACATCGCCATTCCACCGGGGAGGGTTGTTGGCTACTAACAATCCAGGCAGCCACCCTGACAAGAAAGCAAAACTGCACATAGTTTATGATTTTTAGGTTATTGCTGGAGTGTAAAAGGTTGCCGTTTGGGCCACAAGTTTGCCGTTTTACAATCTGGAACACACATTTCTCCATCACGAGGATTATTTGTTGCTGTTTTCCGAGGGCACTTTTTCGGGGGTACATCTTCCTTGGCGCATAATTTTTAACCAAGAAATAATAACGCTTAAACTTTTTAGTGTTGTCATTAAAAGCGAGCTGATGGCGGGGATTCCAAGGTAGGTCGGACGACGCCTAACGTCTGAGATGTTCCACTGAACTGAGCTTGTCGTATGGGTATCGGAGCTGTTGTTGTTACGTTTTTTTTTTTTCAGTACTTGTGGCATCTTTAAAGCGTCTAAAATGTTGGGAAAGTGCTCGGAGTTTATTTTATTTAGTGATGGAAACCGTTCGGTTTCCGCCCAACGCCATGGATGCCTGTCTTATTCAACATTATAACGTGTGTAGGTCTTACCATGATGGAGTAGCGTTGAATTGTTGTGTTGCATACAGTTCTCAGGCCGGAGTACAATGTCTATAAATTTCGATATTCTTTTATTTTAAGACTTCTTTAAGTTGAAATTGCGGAAATTAAAAATGTAACGCGTTTAACAACTTTTTTAGCCGAATGCGAAAGACACAAACTAGAATTTATCCGCACCAGACAAGGACGTAGATATAACAGCTGGGAATTGGGAGCTATGTTTTATCTGGGATATCAAATAAACAATTCAAAGCTGTAATCTAGACCATGACCTCTATATTTTTACAAATCGTCACAGTGTATTACCCGGTTTTGTGTATAAAACGACATGTAACTTTTATGCAATGACATTGACAATTGGAATCCTCTGGATTTACTAAACCTAGTATAATGTAAAGGTGCATTAAGAGGGTTCAAAACTGGCAATTTGAATATTTAACTTATACAAGTGTTCATAGTCAACACATGGTGTTTACACTGACCCGAACCAAGTTTTTAAAGTAAGTGTTGAATTTTGTTTGATTTGATTGTTTCAGTTGCTGAGGTATGCTGACCTGTAACTTATTAATGTTTTAAGTTATCATATTATTAACAAATATGATACATTAATGAGATGGTTAGAAGTGAAGGATCGACCTATGTCATATGTTATATCTAAACTTACATAATTCATTGAGGGTCAAATAGGAAGGATAATGGTGGGTCCAGAGAATAATAATATTGACATAAAATGTTCAACTACTTGATTTGATATGTTGGAATAGCATACTTCATTAGCCAATTACTTGGGAACTTCTTGAGGAAAATGATTTCCCTAAATTAAGAAGACGCCCAAATATTGCCATTGGGAAAAGTACATACTGAAACATTTTAGTTCATGACATCAAATATGTCAAATACAGCACATCACCTCTGCTATGACTTTCGCAAGCAATGCCACAACGTAGTTAGGAACTGCCAGTTGAAAGATACCCGAAAATGTGGCAGAGCCGGTTCAATTTAATATTTATTAATTTAATATTTATTTAGTATGATCAGATTAATCAGTAATGTATGTATTTAATAAAGTATGTCAAATATTATTATTGGTAGGGGAGAGGGGGACACCTTTGAACACTTTTTTTCAAGCCTTATAACATTTTTTATTTTATAATATTTGGTTTCTTATAAATTTTAACTAATAGTTAGATATGTAATCTTTAAAATGAATATACATATGACATACTTTAAGCTTGATAAATATATTTTATTACTGTTTTAATGGACGAATTCAAAGTGTTCAAAGGGGACAAGGGTTGGCATTTTTGAACGACATGGTTTTTACAGTGTGAAAAATACAGTAAATTTCGTAATCTTATTAGCCCATTTGAAATTTTGAGAAATCGAAGCCAAAAGTTAAAAACTTTTACTGGAGGTGCCCCACCTGTGGCATTTTACGTAAATTTATAATAATTTTTTTTGTAGAAAATAGATATGAAAGAAAATACATTAGTTATGTTTGAAATGATTGTTGGAATGCAAAAAAAATGTTTATCGAAAGAAAAAGATCACCGAATTCATCCTGCGCCCTTACAACCAAAAGATTAAAAGTTTACAATTGCACTGCGAAAACATGGTCACCCACGCACAATTTGTCGACAACTGAAAAAGCTAGCCAATGTGGTTTACGCAGATAGAGAACAAGATTGCCTGCCATACACAAAAATGTAATTGCGGGACAGAAAAATTTTAAACCAAGATTTTAAGAGCGCTGTTCAAAGGTGCCCCACGTTCAAAGGTGCCCCCCTCTCCCCTAAATATTTTCGTCTAATTGTTTTCAATATTAACGAAACAGTGAAATTGTAAGCACCCATTATATGGTAGATATACTAATTATCCTAGTATGCGTTATTTTCTTTATATATTTTTTACAGATCCTTCTTCTATAGGATGACGCCACTGTCTCAGCTATCTGTTTCTCCTCTATCAGCTCAATACTGTGATCAGAAACGGCGCACACATCAACAACGCCTGGCAGAGAATATTCCACTGCTTGGTTATGGCAGTTTTTTGACTGCATCATAAAAGCAGAGTTATAGCGAGAACTTATTGCGGTACTGAGCATTTTTTAATATCATGGGCGTTTTAACTTATTCTTGCATTCCCCTTTTCCCTCAGCTCGCACGGAATCGTAAAGTTTAGAAACTTTGTAATGGCTGCCGTTACTCGCATCTGAATTCCACAAAACAAGACTTCGCCCATCGACTCCCCGCATCCTAGAGTCATAACTAGAGCAGGCTTTATAATCCTGCCATGTAACACTCATCTGCAATGGTCATAATCAGCACTTTTTAATGGCGCTTACATGAGCAACCGCCGCCATCGAGCCAACGAAGGTGGATGAGAGCGGCGTAGACATTTGAACTTTTCCTACAGCCATTACTTTGTGTATTTTCTTATTCTTATTGCTCCCCATAATGTTTATTTTATATTTGAACATATTTTTTATTTGTTTATTTTTTCATGACTGCCATCAAAGC